CCTCAAACCAACTAGTAGCTCAACAGCAGACACTTCAGGGACAAGTTCCCTAGCCAGACGCACTCCAAGTCAGACACGTTTGCATAAACTGCCAGAAAAGAACTGCGAGGTGTCCTTCTGTGTTTGCCCTTAGACACCAGCATCTGATATTATAGTTCAAGTCTGCTTTATATTATTTTAATTGGGTGTTAAATTACTGTTAGTTCAGCCCAGACACTCAAGGTGTCTCCATAACTTTGGCTGTGGGTGCAAAGGCTAAAGCATATATCCTTACTTCCCAAATATGAGTATAACCCTATACCAACACACAGGTGAATCTTTTTAAAGATGTACATGTGTGTTCTAAATAGTTTGCTGAAAAGTATGTTTAAGTTGCAACTCATCTAATCTAATTAGCCTTACTGTTCCTCCCCTGATGAGTAATGATGCACTCAGTGGCATTGTAGCCGGTCACTCACACTCACCCATGCATCATGACCCCATCATATCGCAGCTGTGTTCAACTACAACAAACTCCAGTCACTGTGACTCTAAAAATGTGTCATACTCAAGGAAGCAAAAGAAAAAAAGAATAACGACTCTAGTTTGCTTCAACTGTACCATGACAGCTCAGCGAAGGCTGTTAACAGAGTACAAGACAGACTACAAGTAAATGGTCATTCACCAAATTCATGAAACATGGAGAGGATGAGAAAGGACTGGGCTCATTAAGACAAAAATGAATTACTGTACAATAACTGGTTGCTGCTGCAAAAAGAGCCTTTACTTAAAAAGAAATTAAAAACTGAGGGTAAAAACAGAAATTCTACAAAAGGTCAGAGTTCTAAGATTACTACTATAATTAGTGTTACCTTTGAAGAAGATGAGGTCTTCCTCTGGAGAAAAAAAAACTCCTGCTCTTCTGTGAGAAATGGGAGGGGGGGGCTCAAAAAGCTCAGAGTATCCGTGGCTCATTGTATTTTACCAAATCTTAGAGCCTGTCCTGTCCATTGTGTTTCAGTATTATTAAACATTTCCCACTTGCCTCGGTTTGTTTTCTGCATTACTTTGCCTTTAGTTACACATTTATTTCTAAGCTTAAAACTTAAACATGAACTTTCCTACACCCATTGTTCACTCAGTTAGTTAGTCTATAGTACTTTTCTTACTCTATTTTCCAGTTCTACCAACTAGTGTTTTCCTCCAGTATACAGCCTGAAATGAGGGTCCACTATTGGTCATTGAAAATTGTTTTGTGGCTTCACCAAGTTTCCAGTACTGTTAATGTTGCATCAGTGTGCTTGTTCAGGTTCTTCTCAGCAGTGTTGCCATTTGGACAAAACCAGATACTGGGATGACAATGCTTTTAGATAAAAAATAAATTAAAAACAGTAAATTGATGAAAATTTGAAAACATCATGCCAGACTTAACAGCCATGATAAAATAAAGAGAGAACTTCATATACAGTTGTACTAACCATAAAATATTGTGAAATGAACACCCGATACACTGTATACATGCAAAGATATTCTAGACAAAAAATTAGAAAATTTGTTTTATATTTAGGCTAGAAATTAACAGTTTATTCCAGTTTTGGCATCTCAAACAATTTGTTATGATAAAACAAATCTAGAGAGCACTCAGAGAGTGCAAACCTCCGCCAAGGTATTTCACTGTCCCCATAATATCGTTACACCTAAAAGCAATGTTCCTATGATAGTCTGACCATTATAATATGATTCCTTGACCATGAAAACCTACCCCTAGCACCTGGAATCACAATGATATCATTATTAGTTTGAAGGTTAGTCATGAAAAACGATATTTCAGTAATTATGGTTTTCTTCAGGATGTAGCTCAATAACTTTGAAGATGCATCAAATCTGCTGGCATCCTACTAAGTCAGCAGAGTTTCAGCCAGAATCAGATCTTAGTTGCAAGTCTGTAGCATTATTATTTGTCTCATAGTAGAGAGTTGTCTATGAGCCCTATAAATGTGAACATTCTGGAATAGCAGGTCCGGAATATTAATTGGATCCAGATAATACTTTGGTGTGTGGTAGGGGTTATGTAGATGTTAAAGTGTGATTTTTATCCAAGCATTGTAGGCTCTGAGACAACAGGCAGGAGTAGGCAAGAGACATCTCAAAAAGGCTAGCAACTCCTTCTGAATGCTGAGCAACATATGGAGGTCCCACAGTATAACACCAACATCAAATTGAGAATATACCAAAGCTGTGTACTGTCCACCCTACTCTATGGGTCAGAATGCTGGAGGATGACAGAGATAGACCTTATTATGCTGTCAACTTTCCATACAAACAACCTCCACAAAATCCTGCAGATCTTCTGGTCTCAAACCATCTCCAATCAACAGCTGCTCAAACAGTGCAATCAAGAGAACATAGAGAATATCATCGTGAAAAGGCGATGGAAATGGTGAAGAGAGAAAGGTGACATCACTTCTTTACATCGGATGCCTGAAGGAAGATTCAGGAGAGGCGGGCCAAAGAACACTGCATCATACAGTTGAAGAAGAGCTCAAGGCTTGGAAACACACCTGGGGCAGTATTGAAAGAATGGCCCAGACCAAACAGGATTGGTGGGCCTTTGTTGCTGCCCTACAGGGCATACAGGGAAGTAGGTATTGTAGGCATTACGTAAACCAGAAATAATAAAATTGGCCTTATCTCAAAATGTCAAATACCTCTACATTGGCAGAGGTAAAAATCAACCTTCCTCATTTTATAAAACTTTCCTGTGGCTCAAACCTGGTTCATTGAAGCTGAAGGTAACTATGCATGTGGTTATTCACCATTGTGACCGCCAGTAACCTTTTGTTCAACTGTACTGTTTTATGTAAGCCTAAAACCATCCAGGATTTTTGTAAACACATTAAAATAAATATTGAGTATTTGCTCAGTAGTTTCTGCCAGACAGATCTTCATTTCACTTACAGCTTTTTCACACAAAAGTTATGGCAGTGTTACCTTGACTTTTTGAACACAATGGAGCACAAAACTAAGCTACCCCAACAACATTCTTGTTCCTCCCATTCAATCACAAGGCTGGGGTCCCTAGCAGGGAGGTCTGGAGCCTCAGCATACTATTTTGGCTTCACTTTTGCATTCAGTGAGAGGATGTGCTGTCACAGAGTATACATGCTCTGTGCTTCATACACTGTGCAGATACAGTATTGACAGAATGCACCTCTAGGATATTCTTCTACAGTAGAGAAGCACAGCACATACAGTATTGTGACAGAAATTCAAAGTGGCACTGTGTTTTTACATATGAGCAATATCTAGTTATGTGCTGCATGTGTAAATTAAATTTCTACTTTTAATTAAAATGCACCATTATTTCCTCATGCCGATGCATGCCAGTGCTTCCAAAATTAAGAAATTTTCCTCTGCTTCACCTGCTTCCACTGTGCTCAAGATGTCATCCAGTGTGATGGAAGCTGGTGAGGTCTGAGAGTAATTGGCTTTGTCAAGTAAGAGTCAAAATGCAAATTCATGTCAACATTTTTGAAGGTGCCTCCACTTTTATTGAATAACTCAGAACAACAGAGTACAAACAAACTGCAACTTGTGACAGGTCTATAAATATTACCCAGGAGTATACAGAAACCCAGCTGAATTTCTGATTGCAATCATGAATCCTATTAATGAAGCTTTGCAACTGCATATACTGTATCTCTTGTTTAGATCAGAGTTTTTAAGTGTCATACAGAAGCAATGTTTCTACGCTAATGTGGAAGCTGTACAATAACTGTGTCAGTGCAAATACTGTATGTTCAAACAAGGAGGCAGAGGATGACATGGTGATTAGAGCAACAGCACACCATGCTGTGCTAGTCTTAATTGTTTTGTAGAAACAAATGGGATACGCACTTACACTAGTATAGGGAGTAACTTGGAGTTCAGTGTCTTTCTCAAGGACACTTCAACATGTGGACTGGTGAAGCCTGAAACCAACCCTTTGGTTAGAAGACAGTCTATCTATCTATCTATCTACTCTGACCATGAATCATTAATTTTGTATAAGCAGGCTAAAAAGTAATATTTAAAGATTACGGCCTAATAAGCCAACATTTAACAGTGTGAGCTCCTTATTCTCCACTCTGTAAAATATAATTAATAGTGAATTGTAAGTATTTACAAACCAAATCACACACACTGCACAAAACTAATGTTGAACTTTGATTATCTGACTCATTTATCAGTCCTGTGCTTTCTCAGTTCTCGCCTGTTCATCTTTCTTTATAACCCCACTGTATTTATTTTAATTCTATCCAAATATCATTATTCAGTAAGAGTGCACTTTGCAGTAATAAAGCATTAATTGGTTATTCAGGGACTAAGGAATGAAATGTATCAGTCAAAAATGACCAATATGGCAGCTGATATGTACAGCATTAGGACTGACCCGGTGGGCATAGCATAAAGTCCAAAGTGATGATGCAATATGACTGTAATGAACTGACAAATCTGAGGGAAGTATGCATGAATTTGGCAATTAGGTTTTCTGGGAGTTACAGCTATTTGTGTGTTAGCTGGTGTTTGTGTTGGTTTCTATCTTTCAAGCAAGATGGATAGCTTACAAAATGAGATCTTCACTACAGGCAACTGTTTCTCACACTTTTAGGAGAGTACTTGACACACAGCACACTAACATATTTATAAATGACTCATTAGTAAATCTTCATAAATATAAATTGCCTTCCTAAATGGGTTTATGTTGTCTACCATATTTTCTGCAGTGCTGTTGCAGTCTTCTCTGGCACTCCAGCCAGTTCACCCAGTCTAACCAGAACGTAGTTTTCTAGCTGTTTTAACAACCTTCTCCTTTGGCCTGACAATATTCATTTTTTAGCATTTGAGTAACATGTGCTCGTCAGCAGCGCAGCCTGCCGTTCTGCCTCGTCCTCATTTCATTCAGCATCTCTGAAACCCGCGCATCAGAGCCCATATGGTTCTACCTGCTCCTCACTCGCCCCCTCCTCTATCCCTGTAGTTATTATGCTTGTCTGTAACCCTGTGGACTGTTTTTCTCGGAGTACTGCAGCAACACCGAACTAGCTATAAATCACATTGCATTATCACCGCGCCGTGTTTCGCTCGCGCTTAGCCCGCCCACCTCGCGCTTCTGATTGGCCAGTAATACTCGTTGGTCGGTCTTTACAAACGGGACATCGGTGCAATCGTATATCCCGCCTCCTTCTTGTGGGTCTGTGATTGGGAGAAAGGGACTCTCCTTGAACTGTCAATCATGCGCTTTCCTGTGCGCCTCGCATTCACTGCTGCTGCCTGCGACGCGCAGAGTGCGGAGCGACGAGACGCGCTGCATACCAACAGAGACATACAGGAGCGGGCTAATTACAGCGTAAGTGACGACTTGCGACTGGTCGGGACCCACAGATCCCATCCTGTTCACTGTCAAAAAAAAAAACATTTATGTCAAGTCACTGGACAGTTTAAATCTTACATTTTTTTCCCATGCATTTTGCAAAATATTTTCTCTTTTCTTCGAGGCACTGAAAGCCAAACTAAGTGTTTGGTATATTTGTTTTTCCTGCTCTAATATTTTTTCTGGTTGAACGATTCTATACGGGAGAAGATAAACAGCCCTCTCCGCATCTCTCTCCGACGGGGGTCATCAAAAGGAAAAGTCAAGTGGATAAGAATGCTGTTATCGTCCGGTCACATGTAGAAGCGTTGGACTACTGCTGCTGACAATCATCTACTGGCTCGTTTTTATACACAGATTCCCCGCAACGGTACCAGAAAAGAGGAATATCAAGGCATTTGGCTTCAAAAACAAGCAGAAAATCAATCAGAACTCCATCATGGGCTGCCCCCTCTTGCGGAACGCGTTTGCTGGTTTGATGCTGGTTCTGCTGTCGAAATGTAAGTTCTTTCGAGCTACTTTAGTGATGTGACGGTTTTGTGCTGCTGCACCTCTACGCATGTATCTTAGCCTTTCATTTTCTGAAAACAGTTGTGGATGCGAATACTAATGATGATTGGGGGTGGGGGGGTCTACCTGCTTGTGAATCACGCGTCTGCTGTGCCACTGCGCTCCAGCTTTCCATTTGCACACACACAGATAGAAATGTAGAGATGTTGTGCGTGTGTGCGTGCCCGTGTGTGTGCGTGAGCGCGTGCCTGTGAACGCAGCGCCAGGTTCGTCTCTAAGCCAACCTCGTGGCTCAGTGTAAGCAACGAGCGATGCATGTTAAGATGTTTTCTATGGGAAAAATAGACTCCCATCCCTAGTCTTCTGTGAACATTCCTTTACGTGACATGAATGGTCTGGTATCCCAGCAGGCGACGCACCACTAGTGCAAAGGGGGGGGGGA